ACCCAAACAGTACATGCATATTATCTTAAAGATTTGTATATGTAAAGCAGCGTACCAAACCAACCTTTAGTAATACCATATAGTATGTCCTCTCGATGCTCAGGCGAATTAAATAGAAGCAAAGTTTTAAAGATGACGTGTCCAGCTTCCCACAACCTTCGAATAAATCGACAATTTTCGAACACAAGAAAATACACAAACATACTTGAGTACAGCCTTACGGATGGACATCACGAAGAAAGCAGTTCGACATGTTCATTGGAGTAGATGCCAGGAGTGGGTATAACTGTCTACTACTCAGAAGCCTAAGAGAGCTTGATAGAAGACAACGGTAACATTTTCTAGGTTATAAGATAGCAAAGGATAAGGACCGAAAAATTTAGGGCGGCCCACAAGAAACACACAAGAATAACACGCAAATAGATTATGGAATAAGCGAAGTTCTACGACGAGGCTTAATGAACGAGAACCTAAAATTTTAAAAGGCTAGTAACAAGATCGTCTCTAACACCGACATAAGACTATAACAACAAAACAATACTTGGCACAAAATATCAAAATTACTCTGACAAACAGTAACAGATAAATTACTAGACAAAACAAAATGAAAACCTCCCTCAAACAAAAAAAAGGTTGCGATGATGATTGCCGTGAACTCCATAACGGTGGGCAACAAAAATGGCTACATGCTACAAAAACCCCTTACACAAGGGTCTTAAAATAAACATAGTATAAGGATAATGAATGAAACCCAACAAGAAAAATTTATTGACAGGTGAAGAAGAAGGTAGTAACGGCTGAGAACAAATAACCAGAAGATATAGAAGAAAAAAGAAGAACCCAACTAAGCAACAGTCCTTCAAGAAATAGGAGTTTCTAGATATCGAGAAACCCAGAGTACCAACAAGAACAGCGAAACATTCTTCCAAAACGACAGCTTCAGCTATAATTACAGATGACAGGAAATCCTAAAAACTTCTGGAAGGAATACTTCAATCAATTTTTGAACGATCTAAATCTAGCAGAAAATACATCAAACGATCAGCGGTACATGAGGCAGTGAAATATAAGAACCAATAACCGACTATACGAAGAAAAATACAGACAACTTAAAACTAATAATACACCAAGGTAGAGCAATGGTAATACTCCCACAGAGATGCTTTAAACTAATAGTATATTATAAGCCTAATACCAAAAACGTGAAACAAACCGCCAAGTATTCAACTACAGGGGAAAAACAATACTATACTAAATCACCACCTACAAAATCCTTAGTCAAGGTCACAAAACTATCAGTTGATATGGATTATATGGAAACGAAATACGATGTAGTGAATGTTGAACAGACAATACTTGGAGACATTTAAAAATAACCAATGTGACTATAAACAGGAAGTGCACTTTTCACACAACTCGTTCAACTCTATCTCTGGATACTATCTTACAGAAGTTGCATAGATCTGAAGTGAACCGAAATACAGTATTTCATCGAGAAGGACCAAACTTACTACTCTGGCATTCGCAGACGATATACGATATAAGTAGGAAAAACACACCGATTAAGGTATGGAGACTTTCGTGGAGGTGTCGTGAAGGATAGCCGAGCAATGATGGGGTGACGCCTAAGTCGACGTATACAAGTACGGAAATATTGGTATTTTGAGCCGCATTAAAAAACCATCTAAGCAAGAGACAGAATCGGTCAGAACCATCTTCATCCGATGAATTTTATATTTGAGCGCTTTCAGCAGATTGTCAAGTATGCTTGGAACAACTAATAATATAGAAGACATAATTAATCGGATCTACACAGAAATAAACATACAGGTATTCCGCCAGGCTATCAGATGTGCTGTGAATTTACAACTCCCAACTCTCAGGTTAAAATTATGGGAAGACAACTAACACGAAACGTACCGTAGTATTACAGGTCGTGTAAAAACATTCATAATACCACGTTTTGGGATGTATGGAAGACGAAGAAGCGTGGTTCGAATAACAAAGGCAAAACGCAGAGGGAGGACCTTGTGTAGTTTGGGTAAGAATTAATCCTTAAGGAAGGTACTATTGGTCCTGTGCCTAAGATGATGCTCTTCACAATATTGGTTTAAAGGAAATCTAACAAAGTAAGGTGCCTAGGAAGAAACTCGTGACTTCAGACGCCAAACATCATTAAAGAAATAAAGGAATCCAGAATAGGGACGTCTCATATGGGGACATGGACAACCTCAAAAGTTATTTTGACGAACGAACAGTAAGACTGGTGTGGGAGGAAAATCTCAACTGGAAGGAGACCACGCGGACGCCCTCGTCTCCGTGCGAAATAATATAGTAGGAGACCTAAGCACTATGGGCGTGGAGAATTGGATGCCGGTTGCTCAAGAAAGAAAATAGTGAGGCATGTGTGTCGAGTCGGCCTAAAACCCACGAAGGGTTGTAACGCCACGGAGTAAGTAAGTAGTCCAAAAAATTAAAATAAAAAAAACCATTTCCGTGTCAAAATCATTTATTGTTACAATTTATTTAACAAAATTTTAACAACTTTTCGATTGGGCGACCTCTTAAACCTTATTTCATGGGGTATCTCATGAAAGTGATTATGTAAAAAAATCTTATGGGAATATTGTTCTGAACGAACCCGAGCTTTTTACCTTGTTTAGTAGCAGAATTTATCTAGGCCAAAATTCACTGTCTGCGACGATGTTACTACCTAAGAGTAGCTATTTGAAATTTCAGTTCAGCTTTGCAACTGTTGTAAAGTATCAATACAAAATCCAATCTCATCGAATCTGCGTGAGACAGTGACTTCAAGCTATATGATGTACATGTAAGCTACATTTTTTGTAGGTTATGAATATCGACAGTACCTATTGAATTTGTTATGGATTAAGCCATAATTGATTGTAATAAAAATTACATTATACATTTGTTTTTGAGGTTAAGATCTCCAATCCTAAAACTGTTTAAACATATATAATAATATATAAATAATGTTGTATATTCTATTTATTTTGTATTCATTTTTAATTCTTTGATTAGACGATATGTGTCTATATTCTTTGCATATGGTATTGTTGTCATCTTCAAAGTCTTGCGAGCCGTTCCGGATTGCTTTTGCCGTTATGTTGTTTTCTTTCTTCATAAGATTGAAGGTGCTTTAGACATTGGATCATTTTAATTAGTGTATAATACCGAGTGTATATTTAGAAAAACGTCAAATTAATATCTCGGTATAAATATAATTACAGAAATATATTACATAATCGTTACAAAGTTCAAAGCTTCTGCTGTAATCTGCATTCTTATTGAAATAAACAAGAATTGACGCGAGTAAAAATAATCCAGTATTTAATTATTGGTGTATTTATTAAAATTTTATCACACAACATAATAAATTATCATAATTCTCGTTAAAAATAGAGTCTTTTATAAATCATTTTAAAAAGAGATAAATGTTTTTAAGTAGATTTCTTAAATTTTTGCAATCTTTTACCATATCATCAAATTAGAAAAAAAAAACGCAAATAATTGTTTAGTATTTAGCCTTTATTAAGATGTTTCAACATTTCAACATTTATTGTAACTCAATAAAATTAAATCTGTCAAGAAGTTCGGTTTAAAAACGCATTTCCGGTTTACTCAATGGTGTTTTATATTAAAAAAAAAAAGGATAGGTTATGATAAGTTCTTATATAGTATCAGCCGACATAGAAAGGACTATAACTCGAATAAAAACTTTGGAAAACGTCTACAGTCTAATAAAGACAAACCATTGTATTCTATGGCGTTCATGTCGTGATAACTTAGCAATACATGATTTACAATGGACAGGTCTTATGTAGCGAACGAAGGAGGTTAAATGGTGAATTTCGGATACCATAAAACTGAAACCTCTACATTATCGGAACAAATAAAAAAAAAATCTGGTGAAAAACGACACATATCTACATTTTGGTAATATTATTTTAATTATTATTTTTAGGTGGCGGTGTCATAGGCTCCAGTATACTATACCATTTATCAAAACTAGGAGTAAATGCTATTCTTCTTGAGAAAAATAAACTAACTAGTGGAACAAACATGGCACAGTGGCGCTTTGGTGTGGAGTTTGAGAGCGACAGACGTGGACAATGTGATGTTAAAGAAAACCAGAGATCTGCTGGCGGGCTTAGAAGCAGAAACTGGCGTCAATCCCGGATGGACACAGTCAGGAGGAATTTTTATTGCTAGGACTCCTGTTAGTACATATTATATTAACATAAAACAGTTAAACATTTTTTTTTTAAATTGGTTGGCACCATTATTTTTTGTATAAACTTTAGTCCAAAATTTCGATACATATAATAAAATCATCTGTCATCATCAAGTGCAGTGTACTTTGTTCTAGCTGTTATATTGACTAGGAATCATATGTTTGTTTGTACTATACGTAGAGTAAACAGAGTATCAGCACTGTACAAATGTTTCTGATATTCCATCCCAAATCTTTTTCAATATAAATATTTATTTTTTTCAACTATACCTATGCATATATGCTTCTCATAATCATTATATAGATTATTAGTTTCAGTGACGATTTGTCAATAAATATGTTTTATCTAGGAGGACATCAATAAAAAGGTCAGTGTTTCATTAAGTTAACCTAACATATTTTTTGAAAAGTACAAACTATTTGTCAAAGATCATATGTAAATTAAGATTCTAACTCGATGAAATTAAGCCAAGTAATTTAAATAGATAGGTAGTTTAGCTAAATAAATTTATATCAACTATGTATCTATTTATAAAATATCTTAAGTTTTCATCAAAGTAAAAAAATGGTTTAAAAATCCAATAAATTCATTAGGGTATTACAGTTAACTTCTTATATTTTTGTGCAAACGTGACTCTATTTTTAAACTGTTCCAGTAAGTTGTTTTTCCATCCTTTCCGAGGTTTTCCCACTAATATTCTTCCTATTTAGAAACCGTTTCTCACTGTCTTTACTACTTTATTTGTTTTTATTTGGCTTATATGATCGTTTCATTCTATTTCTTACCCAGTCCTTGATATTGTCCACCTTGCATCTACGTCGTATATGTGTACTTTTAGCTCTGTCCCATAGTGTCTTACCATCGATTTTTGTAAGGATTTTCTTTTCTGCTGCTTCTAGCATTCTTTTTGTTCTCTCTGTGTCAGGTCGTATTTTTGCTATATGTCACTATTGGCCTGATGACTATTTTGATAATTTTAACTTTCATTTCTTTCCCGATCTTTTAATTTCACCATATTATCTCATTCAGGCAAACTTCGGCTCTGTTTTTTCTATTTACTTAATCTTTCACTTCTGTTTCGAGCCTTCGTAGCTAGATAGTGTGATGCCTAGATATTTAAACTCCATGACTTGTACTATTATTTGACATTTCAGCTCTAATTTACATCTTAGTAGATTTGCTGTTATAATCATGTGTTTTTCCTTTTGGGAAAGTATCATGTTAAATTTTCTGGCGTTTAAATTAAATTGGTGCAGAATATGTTGTAAATCATCTTCATTTTAAGAGATTAGTATTATATCGTCTGCAAAGCAGATTATTTTAAGTTGTTTTTGCCCCATTATTTATCCCTTTTTGGTTATTTTCTTTATTATTTCAACCATGATCAGGTTGAACAATTGAGGACTCAGGGAATCTCCCTGTCTTATTACATTGCCAATTTTAATAGGGTCAGTTAGTTCTTTCTCTACTTTTACTTTTATTGTGTTGTTCTGGTAGATATTTTGGATCATCTTGATTATTCCTAGAGGCATTTCTCTTGTGTATAATAAGTGGATAATGTCCTTTAATTTGAACATGTCAAATGGCTTCTTAAGGTTCACGAAACATAAATATGCCCGTATGTTATATTCTAACGCAAGTGTTTCCCTTGCACTTGCATTATTAGAAATATAGCGTCGTTGCATGACCTTCGCGGCCTAAACTAAAAAAATCTTGTTCTTCTGCTAGCGTTATAATTTCACTAAATTTATTTGTTATTACTTTGGACGTTAATTTTAGTGTTGTGTTTACTAAATTATGATTTTTATTGCGATAAGCGAGTCACAAAAAGATGATAAGACACAAAATGGTTAAAAATAACATGGGTGCCTGTAATATATTAAATAAAAATACTAATATATATATATATATATATATATATATATATATATAATATATATATATATATATATATATTGGATTTGAAATTTCCGTGGGAGCTATATGTGATTTCAGATGTTTTCTGGGTTTGACTCTGCGTTAGCTATTGTCAAGTCAGATTAGTTCTGCTTCTTCTTGATGTTCGCCTGGAATCAGTTTGCCTGGAATAATAATGGTTGTCCTGATGTGACATCTTGAAAGATTAACTCTTTGTTCTGGAATATAACTTTACATGGTGTGTTCTCTATGAGATAAATTCCGTTTAAGATTTTTATCTGCGTCTCATCTGCACATTTAATGAGTATTTTTTTTTCTTTAGGAAAGATAGCTAAATATTGGTTAATTTCTGGAATGATTTCGATATGGTTTAATGGAATTTTTGCTTTTAAGTATTGGCAGTCTGAGGAGATGTCATGAAATAGAATTTCATCTTCACATGAGTGCTCGTGGTTGATTTGGAGATAACCAGGACATTGAAAGATCTTACCATAAGTACATATGTCATTTAGAGGAATTGTTACTTTTTCGTTTTTTAATAAATATCTTGAGTTTGGTAACATGATAACAAATTCTGACTTACTTTTTGTTGGGATTGGTAATAATTTATAAAGGTCGAAATTAGATTCATAATTAATAGGAATTGATCGAAAATATTGTATTTGGTTTTCATATTTTACTTCAAAGGGCAGTTGTGTTTAATAATGTGATGACATTTTTTGGTAAATATTTTCATATTTTACTTCAAAGGGCAGTTGTGTTTTATAATGTGATGACATTTTTTGGAGTTCGTTATATAATTCACTAGATTTAATAATGCTAAGATGTAGTGTTTTTCGTTTGCAAAATGTAATAGAATTCTGGACATTTTCCATTGTATTGAGTATTAGGTTGTATGTTATTATAATTTCGATAAACATGTCTTTCAAATAGTTGACGTTTTCAAAATTTGTTTGGAAGTCTACTATATTTTTTATTGCCAAAATTTTTGATTTTAAATTAATTTCATTTTCTTGTATGTTTTGAATTGTTTCATTAAAATTATTGATAATTTCATGACTTAGCGAATACTGGTTATTGATTTGGCTTTGCAAGTTTGCTTCATTCGTCTTTAAGTGTTCTAGTATTGAGTTAATTTTTTCGCCATCTTCGGCATCTAAATTTCCTGTTACAGCTTTAATAATTGAACCGAATCCATTGATTATACCTCTTTTATTTCTTTGCAATTTTGTATGTATGTTTAGATTTTCAAAACTTTCCTCAATGTTATTTTTGACATACTGTGCTAGATTCACATAATTTTTTGTTTCGTTATTGAAAAATTTACAATTAGAAAGATTATTTTTGAGATGATCATACTGTATATTTAAGCTATCATATTCTTCTAAAAGCGGATTTAAATTGTAGTAATGGACACATGTGTGGCTCGATTTTTGAAGTTTGGTAGGTCCCAATTTGATTGGTAGTATGCCTAGATTATGGGTAACATCTTTTATTTGGATTGCTGCGCCTCCGATTGCGAGGAACCTGAAAATTTGTAAGGTTTTCTTTTAGGTCGTTTGACATTAGAAACGTGGATATTTTCAGCAGTATTTTTATTTCGACTAACTATTTTCGCTGTTTTTCTTTCTTTATTAATTTTGCTTATTTTTTCAGCATTGTATTTATTTTCTGTTTTACCTTGAAATTGTCTGTTACGCACAAATATTTTATTGGGGATTGTTTCGGGCAATTCTTCTCGTTTTTCGTTAGCTTTTGAGATTACTATTTCTTTTACGTTTTGTAAGGATTTATTTATATTAGAATAAAGTATTTTCATCTTTTCTTTATGGTTTGAAATATAATTATTAAAAAACGAATAAATATTTAAAACTTGTTGCTCGATATCGATATTAAAAGGAGAATTATTATCTATATGTCCCGTAATCAGCTCGTATGGTTTCATTTTTGTTACTGAGTGGATGCTATTATTATAGGCTAGTAAGACGTAATATCTTTTATGTTCAATATGGCCATTTTTATATTCTTTCTGATTATTTAGTAGTCTAACGTGTTCGATGATCGTAGAATGAAATCTCTCAGCAATTCCATTAGACTCTGGATGTTGAGAGCTTATAAAATGTACTTTTACCTTGTGTAACTCTAGCAGTTCTTTGACGACTTAGTTTTTTAATTCAGTTCCATTATCAGAAATTATTTGTTATGGCATGCAGTGATGAGTAAAATATCGAATTAATGCGTTCGCTACTTCAATGCCTTGAGCTGAATTTATTTTGTATAGTTCGCCATATTTAGAAAAATAATCTATTATAGTTAAAAATTTTGTATTTTCCAACGTAATCGAATCTAACTGTACAATTTGAAAGGGTTTAGTTGCAGTAGGTGTTATATTGAACATGGGTTTGACAGGTTTCCTGTCGTACTTTGTTAATTGGCAAATTTCAAATCATTTATGAAGGTTTGGATGTATGCTCTTTGATTTGGCCAATAATATAAGGCCTTTATTCTACTTTCTGTTTCATCTAATCCTCTGTGGTTTTGTTTTCCTTCGTGATAATTTTTTATTATTTCCTCAATTTCATTTGGAGGGATATCGATTAGCTTCTTGGTGCTTTTAATAAGAGATAATTGCGAAGATTTGAAGTATTTTTGGATAACGTTACTAAATATTTCATATATAGGATCTTCGAAGTATAAATGATATTTAACTTTAGGTGCTATATATTCTTTTACAAATTTAACTATGTCGCGTTCAGTGTCATTTTTTGAGAATTGTACAAGAATTCTTTGTTTTTTATCAAAAAGTTTTATAATAGATGGCGTTGCTGGTTCGTAATTAACATGAGAAATGATAATTTGATTTATTCCAGTGTTTACCGAGCAATCTCATAGTCATACTCTTCGAGTTTTAATCTCCAGCGAACTAATTTTGAGCTAGGATCTTTTAATGAAAATAGCCATTGAAGAGGCTTGTGATCTGTCACTAGTCACGCGACGACCAAAAATGTATGGGCGGAAATATTTCACAGCCCAAACTATAGGGAGGAGTTCCTTTTCTATCATAGAG